AAATTGAGCCCAAAGTGATGCCAAAATAACTGAAAATACCTGCAAATCGGGGACTGCAACTACATAATACCATAATAACTTCAGTAAGCTAGCTCTCAAATGGACATGTCAGTTTATTTAGTTTTAACATTCTTGTGGCATCCAGACTCGTATGCTCTGTGACTGGTTTTTGCTTGATGGTCAACATGTTTAATTCTTTCTATTATTACTCTTGATTTGTGTTGAAAGACTGTAATTTACGTTCTACTGCATTCTTGGTATGTAATGCAAGACGAGACAAAGTGGTAGGATGTGTCTGAAATGTCACCATTAAATATTTAGCTTTGTAGATGATGTCTGAGACTCTTTGCTTTATATATCATGATCTCTGTTGATGTATGTGTCTGTGCTGTTAGGCTAAACACAGTTCTGGACTTGTGAATGATTTACAAGTCTGGTGCTGAACCTTTAGCCGTCTTTGTTTCAGTTTTACTTTACTTCATAAATACACATCTACAAGTAAAACCAACAACCAAAATATTAAAAAGGAGAGATTCACTCCAGTTGTTGAAATTGGTTTGAGGGAAGCAAAACCATGGAGGCTTGTTTCTTTAATCATTAAGTCAAGCTCAAATTTTCAACATACCAACTCAAACTTCTGAGAAAATAACTTAATTAGTTATTTTGTTGAAATTTTGATGTAAAAATTCAGCTTCCATTTAAAAAACATCTAAATTTAAAACCCCGGAACAGGCTGGTGAAAAGTTATATGACAACATAAACGATAAATGATCCTCAGAGCATTTAGCCTCAAGGTCGAGGCTAAATTTGACCATTAAATTAATTTTTTAAGGTATCTGTAATACAAACTAAAAACTAAATGTTTGGGTTTAAAGCAAACACCGAACCTGCTTAGCAGAAAATCTGGGGAGGGGAACGGTACCAAACGGGAATTCAGTTGTACTTCCGGCGTGAAAGGTCACATCAAAATGGCGCCGTCCAAGAAGAAACACGCCAAGAATCAGGCTTCTGTTATTCCTGGAGGATTTACGGGTATTTCTGATTATTACGCCGTTTTTCTGTACCGCTTTGTCCTCGTAGACAAATGTTTGTGTTACGTAACCCGGCTGGTGTGTGTATGAGTGTGTGCTGATCTGTCGACAGAGCTGTAGTCGCTGGGTGATAGCAGACGCTGATGTGTTGTTTTTTCCCCGTCTCTCCTCGCAGTGTTGTCCTTACAGTTCAGCTCCGACAGCGCCGCCAGCCACTCGCTGTACGTGAAGGAGCACAGGGTACGAGCGGAGAGGAGTTCCCACAGACCGCTGGACCGGACTTTATTCGTGCTAAACATCCCTCCGTACTGCTCAGAGGTAGCGCGCCTGCCTGGCTGCTCTGTGTGGTTTGTTTGTTTGTCCTTCATGTAAACAGTAACCACTGCACACTGCCTTTCCTCTCACTGTTTGTGTATGTGTGTGTTACAGGATGTTGTCAAAGATTTATTCTCGCAGTTTGGCAGCGTTCAGTCAGTGGAGCTGAGAGACCACCCGGGGTCCTCCCAGGAGGCTGGACCCAAACTGTCCAAGTTCTTCAAACCAGCTGAAAAACAGGTTGACCTGTGTTCCTGCGCAGTTTCTCGTTTGTTTATGTATGTTTTGTAGATTTCAGTTTCATGTTATGTGTCTCTGTCTGTTTCAGGGCTTCAAAGTTGGCTATGTTGTATTTCAAAACTCCTCCAGTTTACCAGCAGTTAAATCACACCCACATGATGTGCCTTTGGTGGTCTGCACAGAGCAGCGCCCAGTCAAAACAGGACTGCAGAGTAAGTAGGCTGTTGCTAAAGTGACACAGTTTAATGTATGAGGCTTAAATAAAACCAAACGAGACATAAAACCACCCCAAACACAGTGGATGGCTACAGAGAAATGCAAAATATAACCAAAGAAGCAAAAGTATCTGCAAAAGATGTGTTCAAAAGTGTCATAAAATACGCAGAGATTTAGCTACATGATGCAAAAACTTAATTAGCATAAATATACTGATAAATGCAACATTGAAAATGTACTTTACATGAGTCATTTGTATATTATAACATGTGTATGACCAGGTATGTGCTGAGGTGTAGGATGTGGAATTGGGCAGAAGGATTTACAGCTTTTGGGAATAAGATGTGTTTTAGTGTGTGTGTGTGTGTGTGTACTTTTAAAGAGCATGTCTGGCAGAAGAATCTTGAAAGGATGTTGTCCAGGGTGTGTAAAGACAGAGAGTCACTAATAATAAAATGTGACACAAATGACCAAAAATAAGTGTGAATAAGCGTATGAGTGAAAAATCTGTTATAAAGACACCAAAAGTCAAGCTTAACGTAAATACACTGGCTACAAATTGATGCCAAATGGGACATAAAGTGACCTAAAAATGAGAAGAAATGATGCAGAACATCTGGAATCATCTAACAAATGAGGTGTATGACACGTGTGTTGTATTTTCTTTCTGGCAGAGTGGATCCAGCAGTACACAGACTCCTTTATCCAACCGGAGCAGCTGCAACAAAAAGTCGACTCTTTCATGGAAGAGTATGATAAGCGTAAAGAAGAGGTGAGAACTCTGTTGCTGATCCTTCAGCACCGCTGACACGTCCGCTCCGCGTGGCTTCAACGTGGGTTTAATGTTTTGTCCACAGGAAGCGGAGCGGCAGAAGAAGGAGGCCGAGGAGGAGCAAGAGGATGAAGAGGGCTGGGTGAAAGTCACGAGAGGGCACAAGGGTGCCAAGGCGCGTCCTCACAGCGAAGCAGCCAATCAGAGGACTCTACAGAGGGAGATAACGAAGAAGAAGAGGAAGGAGCTCTTGAACTTCTACACCTGGCAGCACAGAAACACGCAGAAAGAACGTAAGTCTCTGATATGTTAATGACATTGTTTACATTTGAGGTTGTGAAAGCATTTTATTTAAATAAGTTTCCTTTTCTTTCTTTCTTTTCCAGATATTGCTGAACTAAGGAAAAAGTTTGAGGAGGATAAACAGAGAATAGCTCTGCTGAGGGCACAGAGGAAGTTCAGACCTTACTGAGTCAGCTGCCTGTTTTTTCTTCTCTCATTTCACTGCTTTTGTGTATTTCAGTTGCATTATAAAGGTTTTATGTTAATAAACTGCTATTCTGACTTAATTTTACGATGATTAAATTTCTCGCTCCTCACATTAATGATAGTAAATCTACTGAAGCACAGTAAAGCTACAACATGAAGTACTGAAATTTTATAAAATGGCAGTTTAAGACTAATCTCTTTTGCCTGAATTTGCAATTTTATGATTTCTGTTCAAATATTTTTATTGTGAAACACAAGTAGACAATTTTATGATTTCATTATCAAATTATCAGAGCAGGCTCCAGGCCAGCAACTTTCTGTGATGACATCATCAGTTGATCTTGGTGTATTTCTGCGTGTATATGTAAGTTGGCATGCGGCAGTATAGTGGTGTTTCAACCAGATGCCAACGATTTCCTACTTGTGTGTCGTGTGCATAATGTAACATGACCACAGTGTACCCATCTTCAGCCAAATGTCACAGAGCTCATCTCAACATCTTAACAGATCTCAATCCTATTGAGTAACTTTGAGTTGTGCATGAAACAAGAGATCTGCATTGTGGTCGAACATGTCAGCATAGATCAGAATGTCTGAAGCACAGTCATGTCATGCCTTATTTCTTGATATTTTTCAAGAAAAATGGGTTCCATCCATCCATCTTCATCCGCTTTATCCGAGGCCGGGTCGCAGGGGCAGCAGCCTAAGCAAAGAGGCCCAGACCTCCCTCTCCCCAGCCACCTCCTCCAGCTTATCCGGGGGAACACCAAGGCGTTCCCAGGCCAGCCGAGAGATAATCTCTCCAGCATGTCCTGGATCTGCCCCGGGGCCTCCTCCCGGTGGAACATGCCCGGAACACCTCACCCAGGAGGCGCCCAGGGGGCATCCTTGTCAGATGCCCGAACCACCTCAGCTTGCTCCTTTCGATGTGGAGCAGCAGCGGCTCTACTCTGAGCCCCTCCCGGATGGCCGAGCTCCTCACCCTATCTCTAAGGGAGAGGCCAGCCACCCTTCGGAGGAAGCTCATTTCCGCCGCTTGTATCCACGATCTTGTTCTTTCGGTCACTACCCACAGCTCGTGGCCATAGGTGAGGGTAGGGACGTAGATCGACCGGTAAATTGAGAGCTTCGCTTTTACACTCAGCTCCCTCTTCACCACGACGGACCGGTGCAGTGTCTGCATTACTGCAGCTGCAGCCCCAATCCGTCTGTCGATCTCCGGCTCCCTTCTCCCATCATTCGCGAACAAGACCCCGAGATACTTGAACTCCTCCACTCGGGGCAGGAACTCATCCCCGACCCGGAGTGGGCACTCCACCCTTTTCCGGCTGAGAAAAGAAAAATGGGTTCAGTAATTTATTGAAGTGCAAACAAATACAGTACATGAGGCAATAACAGAGTTTGTTCACTTCTAACAAGCTTAAATCAATATTTGGTGCGACTACCTTTATTCTCCAACACACTCAGAGCTCTCGGGCAGCTTTCTTGTTCATTTTTTAAGTAGACTTCAGAAATAGTTCTCCAGACTTCTTGAAGGACATTCAAAGCTCTTCGTTGGAAGTTTGCTGCCTTTATTTCTGTTCTCTATCAGGAGGATCCCACACTGCTTTAATAATGCTGAGGCTCAGGCTCTGGGGAGGCCGATCCACAGCTGGTGGTTTCACTGTGTGTTTTTCTATCCAGCTACGCTTTTACGGCATTGGCAGTGTGTTTGGGCTCATTGTCATGCTGTTGTTAATTAGTTGGTTTCACAAGGAATTGCATTGTGGATCAAAATGTGATGGCCTCACACCATGACAAAGCCTGCACTGTGTTTTACAGATGGCTATAGACACTTGCATCCCATCAGTTACTGTTACTGATTTCCAGTCCAGTTTTTCTGCCATTTGGCTCTCAGCCTTAGCTCAAAAAACCAAAACAAATGCACATATGGACAAATTGACATTTATTGAGATGCTTCACTGCCATCTTGTTCGTCGCGTGCTCGTTGCATTCCTCTGTTCTGACACCTCCTGATGCTTGAACACACAATGAACAGCAGGACCACAAGAAGGCCAGTACCAACACCAGACAGGATATATACGATCACCTGAAACACTAAGGAAGAGAGGGGGTGAGATTCTATTTAAAGAGTGTCATTCATACTCTTTCATGTAATGATTCTAGTTTGGTGCTTTGCTGGATTTACTTTTTCCCCGTTTCATGCAGGGGTCTTTCTCGGCTTCAGTGTTATTCTGGACCAGCTGCAGTGGCCCTAAAGAGACCAGTTGAAGCTGGTGGGGTTGAGATGCGGCCTCTCTTCTCGGTCTCTCCCCCTCAGATGCTTGTGGGAGGACACAGGACAGATTTTTTAAAAAGTTCCAAAAATAAACACATTAAGTGTAGTGTGGTATACTCACAAATGAAGGTACAACGCTGCGCACAGTCAACGTCATTCGTGCAGATTTCCACCCAACAATAGAAGTACATCTGAGTGAGAGAAAACGCATAGCCAGGTCTGTGGGAAAAAACAAAACACTGCGTTGCTGAAATATAATCTGATGAAACGTACTTCCTCTGGACTTGGATGGCCTGTGCTGGGGTCCAAGAAGGCAAAGGTCTTGACATCAAACCTCCTGACTTGTGAGTGAGATGTGGTCTTCCCCTGTTTGTCCACGGGGACAGAGCTTCTCATATTATCCTGAGGATTTGGACATCTGTACAAAAGGGACAAAACTGTGCTGTTATATTTTTATATGTTTTTTTTATTGAGGGGTGGGGGTTAATAACGTACCCATCATAGAGAAGTGTCCACACAGAGTGTCTTGACCCAGGATAAGCAAAGCAGTCTCGCACTCGCAGGGAAAGTGTGGGATCTGGAGATGGCTGCACGATGGAAATCTCCACATTCACAGCTTCACGAAGGGGCAAAGTCAGTGGAAGCTGTTCCTCGGGAATAAAGGATGTAAAGGATGCATCTGCAGCAACAAACATATACACATCACCAGCTGTGATTTGCATACAAATGCTTTTTCATTCCATTTTAGTACCTGTGGCTATTCTCATTTGCACTCCGATGGACCCCAGTGCAATGACAGGTGGTGGATTAGTCACCGCATACAAAGACCGCAGTTCTGCTGCACGCTTCAGATCAGAGGAGTCGTATTCACACTGGACCTGAAGACTAAAAACCCCAAAACATTCATCACCACCAGTACTGTCTTCTAGAAGAAGATGTATCTATCTCCATACCTAAATTGAAAATTTTTCCCATCATTTCCTGTATGTAGCTCCACCACTTCCACCTCATAGATCACCACATCTCCATTTGCCTAAAAGCCGGAGAGATTTAAAAAAAAAAAAAAAAAAAAGGTTTAAGAAAAGAAGATGATGTGAAAATTCATGGTGGACCACAGAAACATCTAAATGAAAGCTTGTGCTCAATGCTGTGACTGGCTTTGTGTAACTGTGCAAAAATATTAGGATGATACCCCAATCTAAATATTAGATATAATATTTACCTTCCTCTTTGCACCGCAGTCTGAGACTCCTATCTTGAAGACAGCAGTATCTGGGGTTGTGACAACAGGGTGACAGTGCGGCTGATCCTTTACAATGAGGCTGCTGGGCTCAATGGGCGTGTGTGCATCTGCAGCGTTTACTGAGAACACAAAGTGTCCGTCCAGAGAGCAGGCTGGATGGAGTCACAAACAGGATAATGTTGCATAGTTGTTGTTTTTTTTTTGAGTAAAACACAAATTAAAAAACCCAAAAACAAAACCCAGTTTTGTCCTCATCGCTGCATAATTGTCTTTATAACTATATAATGTTGAATACTATATTAGCATGTATTGAAAGCTCTGCTGCTAACTATAGATGTAATTTTACTGCTCATCAGTGCCAAACATTATTGGTACTGCTTGGTACCTGGTACTCTGTAGTACCAAACATATTTACGGTGGTAACAAGACTGCATTTTGTTATGAAGGCCACGCATATACTGGCAGGAGGTCTTTCCACAGTCAAAATACATAAACCTCTGATTAATTTGAGATTTTTGGTATCCATTTCTGATTTCCCTTAAGCCCCCCCCACGACTGGTTATTAAGGGGTTAAGAGTCCTAGAAGCAGCCCAGCTTGTTTAGAGGAAAGGTTGGAGGGGAAAATACAAATCTTACCATTGAGTGTGTAGTAGCAGGCTGAATCACGAGCATCATAGCAGCAGCCCAGTTTGTAGCAGACATCACTGGAAACCCTTTGGTGGCCACAGTCCACTCGAAGAGCTCTTTCAATGTCACAGTTTCCAGGGAATGCTGGAGAAGAGTTCTGTTTTTAAATGTCTTAGATCGTCACTCTGAACTGTGCAGACTCCTACCCAGTATTGGTAATTACAAGAACAACAAGACAACACTCTAAACTTGGCTCCAGGGGGAAATTGTGCCAGGGTGACTTTTGACTGACGAAAAGGGAGAGCTGATTTTAGGTATACAGGACACAACTGGGTCAGTGAGTTTGTCAAGCTCAATCGGCTGTCTCCACTCACGTGTTGGGCGAGGCTGGGTCCTCTCACTTCTTGTCTTTATCAGGGGACAGCTGATATTGACCCTGATCCATCGATCCTCTCCTGCCAGCTGGACCTGCAGCGGGATGACGGCTTTGCTGCCCTGAGGATGAAAGGTTATTGCAGCGTGGCTGTCAAGAAGTGACGTACATGCAGATTGAAAACTCATTTTTACCTCCATTGGTTTCAATCATTAAAACTTAATAGTAAATATACTATAATTGCATTATTTTTGGCCCTACTTGGTAATCCCATACATTTCCTTCATGTAAACTCTGCAGCAGGATTCACACCTCAACATGGACAAAGCAGCTGTCATATCTGCTGAAAAACGAGAGGCTCTGGTTCTTCACTTTAGCCACTTGCACTCCACAGGTCTTCTCATACTGAGGCACTGGGACTGTGGCCCCTGTCATGTCTAAGGAAAAAAAGCGCACACACACATGGTCTGAGTTCAATGCAAAAGATGAGGGTCAACTAAATGAACCAAGCATCTTCCTCACATCCCGCTGCCCTATACCTCACCTCTGGCGTACACATTGTTTTTCACTAGAGGACCAAACACAGCTCTGATGCCTCGGACAGAGCAGGTGACTCGCGGCATGGCGAGCTGTTTCCTCTGCTCGAGTGTTTTCTTCCTGTGATCGGGGGAAAGGCAGACGCAGCGCCGAGCCATGACGGTGAAAAGTAAAAGAGTCGCGCAAATCTTTATAGAACGATAATTCATCTCGCTATAGTTTGCAAACTTTGTCTTTTAATAGCAGAAACATCCAGCCCTATCTAAGGCGCTGGAGACGGTCACGTGACACCTGTTAATTAGTGTTAATTAATTTAAAGCTATGGTGTTCTTCGGGCTCGGGGACCAGTGCAGTGCAGAGTTAAAGGGTGTCGTAGACCTGCTCAGCGTCACCCGCCTGCGCGCACCGAGAGCTGCAGAAGCTGACGTGCACGCGGCCACAGAATAAAGCCGGTAATTAATAAAAAAGGTCAACGTTTAAATATTAAATATCACACTGAGCGCATGCACGGCCAACTCTATCCTAAGGGGGCCATTAAATGAAAGCATTGCATAACGCGCTGGCCTCACCCCCCTCTCGCTCTCCCCATGGCGAAGCTTGTACCCACCCCAGTTATTATATAAGCAGTCTTAAACCTTTACTCACTGCCATCAGAACACCCACTCATCCTGTCAGAATTGCAAGGAAATGCCCATTTTGTTGCTCTATTCCAGCTGTGTTTGCTTTGAAAACATTTTGCTTTGCAATAAATGACCTGATTTTCTGTGCAGGCTTAAATTAAGTTAGTTATCTTAATCCACACCAGCTGGATTCCAGCACAGTGCAGCTTTCAAGCTAATTTTAATTTAGCTAAACCTTAATTATCCCAAGTCAACATTCAAAGGCTACAGTATAGAAAGTGTAGTACATAAAATCAGGGAGAGATCTCGGCAGTTGCTATAATGATGTTGCCTGCATGGATATGGTTGTCGTTTTTTCTACTTCCCTTATTGTCAACAAGTTTATATACACCGGGAGAAACAGATATATAGCCAATACAAAAGGGGGCAAACAGAACAACAACAAAAGAGAAACTGGAAAATAATCGCTTACACTCTATGCATAGTTTTGTATAAATAACCAATTTTTTGTAAATTATTTTTTTAATAATTTGCAGGATAAATGCTGTAACTGTAACATTTACTATATCAAAGTAAAATTTTAAAATACCTGGTTAAAAAAACAGTACTTCTGATTGCTTTGCACTTCTACTTCCTATTTTGGATGGAAATGTAACAGAACATAAAAGCTTGAATTACTTACGCACATTTTGATGTTAAACTGCGTATTATTACAGAGGATTATGCCTTAAATAGCGGCAGTGCTTCATGTAGTAATATATCTATATGAGGGAGCAGGTCAGCTCACGAGTTTCTCCATCTGTGCTTTCCCTTGTATAATATCCCGGAAACAGCCATCATAATATGTAACTATATTATTAAAAATTATCAATAAAATGATGAACAGTTGGCTTGATTCACTTTTTTGTATATGTAACATTCAAACAATAGCTAATTATTAACTCTATAATATTATTCTATTTTATCTACAGAATTCCTACATTAAATTACACTAAAAAGTAAAAGGTGTGGAAAAATAGGTGAATTAAAAACTACACGTTAGCAAAAAAAACAAAACAAAAACCAAAGCACCCCCCTCCCCGATGAACTAGCAAAGAATTAGTAAATGATAACGGATAGGAACAACAACAAAAAACAAAACAACAAAACAAGACAAATAAAAAACAAGACAAACAAAAAAACCCAGTGGATTTTCAGAGATAAAACTAAACGGATACGAACAAATCCAGTCTGGAAATTAACTGAAACTAAGTAAGAAAAATAAAGAATTAAATAAATAAATAAAGGAATTTCTTAGTAAAGGAATTAATAAATAAAATAAAATAAGATAAAATATATTAAAACTTGACGGAAAAGACTGTGATAACTTGGAATCAAATTATTCATTTCATCGTCAAATTTATTTGATTATTTATAATTTACATTTTTAGAAAAAAATGTTACACTTATCCAAAACGGATGGGTGGCGGGGAAAATACGTTGGGAATAACAATCCAGCGTAAACACACTTTTATTCGGAAACCATTCTGAATATTTCTAACTTTTACTGGGATCGTGTGAGACACTTCTTCTGTTTGATCGTGTGGATATTGTTTACCGTCCCATGGCAGGTCACGAGTTGTCAGACGGCGTGGTGACGTAAGGCTCGTGACGTTTCTGGGTGATTCCCGTCAGGCTGATAGACTGGCTTTAGCATTAAGCATAGGCAACAGGAGAGCGTAGGGCGGCTCGTAAACATGGCTTTGAATCGAAATCATACGCATAACGGCAACGTGTTGATAAACAACGGAGAGAGGTGAGGGTATTACCTTGTGTCAGGGTGTTTAATTGTATTAACTAGCTTACTGTCGCCTCTGTTTTCGGCTTGTTTACCTTTTACTTTCCAATGCGTAGTCAACTCAATGCTATCCAACTGCTAGCCTCCAGCTAGCTGGCCTAGGTAATGTTAGCATTAGCTGTTTTATTGTTTACTGTATCTTTCAGGGCGTTGTGTATGTTGTGTGTTCTTTTAACGACGAGACATTTAATGACCCTACTTTAAAATCGTTGCATAATGTGGTTTAAGCAAGATAGCTCTAAGGTGCGTTAGCGGACTATCCAAACAGGAAGTTTTGGCAGCATTTTTTGTCAGGATGTTGAAATCTTGTAAAACACAACTGTCTTCCCATTGCATGTTTTGTAATGCAATTGTTTTCTAGCTGCTGCGAAATACAATTTCTACATGTTAGCATACTTTTTAGCTCCTTTATAGTTACTGTAAGCAGTGACCTAATTTTCATCTGCCTCATCTTTATCCAGTGTTTTAAGGGAGTGCAAGAATGTGGAGCTGTCATTCAGTGATGTCACCTGCAAGACAGATCTGCTGAAGGGGACCAAGAAGGGCACGGTGTACCTCACACCATACAGGGTACTACCCAAATTATCAATAAACAAAAACAGAAACAAAAGATTCCCGTGATGTTTACGGCTGCTTTTCATGTGCTCATGTATCCTTATGTAACTCATCTTTTTGCCTCATCTCTTGTTCACCGGCTCAGTTGGTGTTTGTATCCAGTAACACCAAGGACTGCCTGGGTTCAGCCATGTTCCCCTATTACCTGATGAAGGGCTGCAGCATTGAGCAGCCAGTCTTTGCAGCCAACTACATTAAAGGGACAGTGTCTGCTGAGCCCGGTGGTAGGAAGCCTTTTGCTTTTACACTTAGTCACTATCATTTGATTGTCTATCTCTAAAACGATCTCATATGAACCCATATTAGTGAAAACTGTGGTGTATTAGTTTCAGAACTTTACTTTGCTTAAAAAAGGTAGCTTTCTGTATTTGCTCTAAAGGGAATTGACTTTTTAATCAGGTGGCTGGGAGGGTCAGGCACATTTCAAGATGTCATTCCCCAGTGGAGGAGCCATAGAGTTGGGACAGCACCTCTTCAAACTGGCCACAAATGGTTCGTATTCCATTTTAATTCAGTACCTTTTCTTTATAACCAGGAAACACGTGTTAAGGTAGCTAAACCCTTTACCAAAGTAGCAGTCCTACTATATTAAAAACATGGTACAGTTGCAGTAAAAAAAACAAATACGATACAGATAATTCTGTTTCTTCTGGAGTCTTTGGAAAGTCACTTTTATTCTTTCTGTGCTCCAGCTTCTCGTGGCGCTCCGGTGCAGAATGGAGCTGCAGCCTACGGTTACCCTTCACCTGGTATGATGAATGGCTATGGCCCACCTCCACCTGCTCCTCAGGGCTATCCCTACCCACCACCTCCCCAGCAGAATGGCTTCTACCAGGGGTCTCCCCCTGCTGCTGGCAACGTGCCCTACTCTTATCCACCACCTGCTGCTGCAGGTAACAGTCTCGCTGTCTGTAGGTCTATTTTTAAATGTCTGATTCAACTGAAGACCAGCGGCAACATAAGTAGGGATTTTTAAAATCTATCTTATAGTCAGTGCAGTTGTAACTCCAGGTTCTGCATTTTATTTTGTAGATTTCTTTCACTTTCTTTTTTCCTTTCTTCCTCATAATCAATAAAAGTGCTTATAGTTTGTAGCCTTGTTTCCTTGCATTTGTATGTAAGCGCACTTTTTTTTTTTGCCTCTTTGCACATAAGTTAAAAATGTGCACCCTCGAGGCGCAAATCATGCTGTCCCTCTTTCTCTGTCAGTGTCCTGTTTTTTTCCTTTATCTTTTTTGCTGTGTAAATAATTGTACAAACAGGCTGCAACCCCCTGTGACCTTCAAACTGCATCTTTAAAAAAAAAAAAAAAAAATTCTGTTGGCCATCTGTGTTCCAGGAATGTACCCATCTGGTTTTGACTACATGGCCCCTCCTCCCCCGTACCCTGGGCCACCACAAAATTGGGCTGCACCCTCTCAGAACTGGACAGCACCACCACCACAACCACCTCCAGGTCTGTTTCTCTCACTCTCCTTTTTTCACTCACTCCCTATATTTTTTCTTCCTCTGTGCCACTGCACTTGTCAGATCGGATCTGTCTGCCTCAACATGAATCACTTCAAAGCACGCCATTAAAAAAAGAAAAAAGGGGGGTGCTGATGTCTCCTCTACAGATAAAAATGTCAAGGAATAAAACAGCCTTCTCGCCCTCATGTTGTTGTTTTTCTAGCAACTTTGGGGATTTTCAGTTAAAAACAGCGTCACCTTCTGCGCACCAGTCTGTGCTTCATCACCTCGTGCCAATAGATTTTTCTAGGTTTGAGGATTAGAAGTTTTCAGTTGCGCTTCATCTGACTACTAAAGCTTTCTCCTGTGCATCTTTTCTCATTACAGTGTTAGGAACTGTTCTAGAGTATGTTCTGCGGTCATTACTCAGTCTTCATCTCCCTGTTTTTTGCCATTTTATGCACAGGTAACGCCAAGGCGGCCGAAGCAGCAGGCAGCGCATATTACAATCCCAGCAATCCACACAATGTCTACATGCCCATGGTAAGCTGCTTTGGATGTCTTTACCTCAGCAACATGTGACTTCTTCTTTAATGGCATTTTAATCATATTAAACCATCTTCTGGGTTTGCGTGCAGGAGCGACCTCCACCGTATGCACCTTCTTCAAACTTCCCTGAAAAGAAAAACAACTGAAACGTGGGCAACGTCACTTCCAAGACACTCCTCTCTCGCATCCTCTGTATCCTAAATAAATTCTAAAGTGAAGTTTTTCTTTTTTCTTTTTGTAGACTGCAATAAGGTAATGCAATTAATATAGGGGTTAAAAAGATGTCAATTAAAATTTCCCAATGAGAGATTGTTTTTAATTTTTTTGGGAAGGACTATAAATGGAACAGCTAATGACGTTTTAGTGTTTTCCATATTACATCAAGTCATTTAAATGGTGGACAACTCGTAAAGCAACAGTCGGGATTCATTTTTTTCTGTCTGATTCTTCAGCACCTACGCAGGGACTCGTGCAGTGTCCCAGCTGGAATGGGGGGGAAGGATTTGGAGAATGTATTTTTAAAGACAGATTTGTTACCAAAACTTTTTGTAGCAGTTTATTGATTGCAGTTCATGTAATTATTAATAATATCAGCTTCTACTAAGAACAGTTATGTATGATTGCAAGTGCATTGTGTTTCCCCATTATAGCTTTGTAGTTATTTCCCACATAAACAAAACAGAACTGTGTTCATTTATGTTCAGCGACACAATAACTGACTGATTCTCATACTATGGCTCGCACAGACACGCAGACTGGTGACCAGTATGATCCTGTACTCAGTCTAAGTAACTTCATTCATGGTATGACCTTAAACTCCCAGTGCTAATTGAGTATCTTTACAGGGTGGTTATCAAAAAGAGTTGCGTAATGTTCAGAAAGCTGTTCAGAAAGATTTCTTATGAAATGAGTCTGTGTATGTGCAATATTTCAGCCTTGCATAACGGCGTTACAGGTCACCTGCGGGGTTATCTGAATGACCTTGTGCTGTACTCTGAGCTTCTGTTCTGTTGCTGTATGCAGAGCCAAGCTGAAACCAGAGCTCTTCTCCTTCAGTAATTAACCTAGTGTGAGGTTACAGGTTACACTGATTTATTAAGGCTCACCAGTATTTTGCCTGCAGGTGAAGCTTCTGAGTGCAGACCGTTATCCCTGATTCTGCTCGGTGTGCATCATTTAGCACCCGTTTGAAGGTCTTTTTGCGCATAGTTGTGGTGGTTAGAGGGTTTTTTTTTTCCTTTTAGGTAGATTTAATCAAATGCCTGTATATTAACATCTCTTTTCTTATTCTTTTTGCTGAATTTGTCAAAAATCTAATAAATGTCAATTATTAAATTTCCCCCACGTTTTTGTCTTCAGTCATTTTTAAACCGTCAGTTATTTATGCCATGTTTATGTCATAGGTCTTAAATCAAATAGAGCCTCAGACAAACAAAAAGAAATTTTACAGAGTATCATTTTTTTATTTAACATACAGTTAAGCCAGAATGCAGAAGCAGTATGTAAAAACCTGCGTGTGAACACACCTTACTGCTTCCATTTAATAGCTATAGTGCCGCTAATCAACTGGATCTGATTAACTTATAATCAGCAAGTTTGCGTTTGATAAAAAACCAAACGCAGCATATTAGCAAAAACACCTCATAACAAACGTCAAATGTGGTGGTGGAGGTGCCATGGTTTGGGCTTGTTTTACGGCCACAGACCTGGGCACCTTACAGTCACTGAGTCGACCACCAACTCTAGTCTAAGGAGCTTGGAAAGCAAAGCGTCTGGACTTCTTTGAGTTGCTTGAAGACGTTTCACCTCTCATCCGAGAAGCTTCTTCAG